TAGTGGGCAAAGTAGAGTTCAGCATAGCTCCCTCTGGTTATATACCTATCACATGATTTATAACTAAGAAAATTAGTGATTCATATGTGTGTGTGTGTGTGTGTGTGTGTGTGTGTGTGTGTGTGTGTGTGCACACGTGCGAGCACGCTCAAGTGTTAGAGGTCAACTTTGTGGCCTTAGTTTTCCTCTTCCATATTCTTGTGGGTTCTGGGAATCAAACTCATGTCTCCAGGTTTAAACACAGCTAAAATTACTCAGTTGGGAAAGTGCTAGACTGAAAGTCACTAGAGTTTTGTGGCAAGTGCCTTTACCCACTGAGCCATCTTGTTGCCTATAGTAATTCGTTTTCACACACAAACTTAGTTTGTATTTTAGCATGAATTTTGTTGGATGTATTTCTTTGTCAACTATCAGAGGGACCACTGTGGTTTTCAGAATTATTCTTCCCATCCCTGCCTTGATATGTATACCTTTTATCTTGCAGAATGTATGCATATGATGGATTACATATTGGTGAGCAACTCTGGTTTTAGAGGAAGCATTTTATTTTGATAGACAACTGTTGTTGAAACATGGGATTGAAGACCATCAGAGTGAGAAAAGTACAAGGCACAGAAAGACATGTATGGCAAATTATCACTCATATGTAGGAACTGAGTTGTGCATATATGGTATATACAACATGAAACACAGGGAGGGAAAGCCAAAACAAGCAAATGGAATTGTTTGAAACAAAAAAGCTTCTTCACTTCAAAGGAAACAATAAGATGAAGCAGCAAACAACCAAAAGCTGGGAGAAAATACTTGCAAATAATACAACTGATGAGGTGCTAATATCCAAAATATGTTGAAGAACTCAGGGCATTCAATAGCAAAACCAAAACAGTTAATCAAAAAGTAGCCAGAGCACTTAGATGAGTATTCCCCAAAGAAAATAAATACCCAAGAGAAATATGAGAAATAAATAAATTAAAAGCTCTGCTTCTTGAACTCTTGGGGAAATGAAATTTTAAATGGAAATGAGATCTCTTGGCTATTTAAAAGATTAAAAAAGACAGCAAATGTTAAAAACAGCTCAGACAGAAGGAAGACCAGTATTGGTGGGTGTATTATTTGTGATTTAAGACAGTCATTTCGGAAAAACAGCATGCAGACTCCTCCAGCACCATGCAGTTTGCTTTACTATGATTCTGCAATACATTTCGAAGGCAGGAAGTGTGATGATTCCAGATCTGTTCATTTTAGTCTAAATTGTTTTAGCAAATTGATGGTGCAATGGTTTGAAAATTTTAGGATTATTGTTTATATAATTTTGCCAAAAATGTCATTGGGATTTTTATGACAATTGCAGTGAATTCTAAAGAACTGTAATGTATTAAAGTTGTGTTATTTACAAGCACTAAATTAATAGCAAATTTTTTTGGCAAAAATGGAAAACTAGTACCACTGAAGTGAAGGTCTTTTGAGGATAGTCTATTGCTTGGGAGGTGACTGGGGAGGGTGGTTTGGACATGCCTAACTGTAAGCAATGTGAAATTGCTCATTCAGAAATTTCATGAATATGAGGTGCAATCAGCAACTATTAAGTTCAAGTACCTTTGAGTTCAGTGTGGTGAGGAGTAAAAGGCATGGAAGCTCATTTTTTTTTTTCCGGTCTAAAGTCTGCCCTGTCATTTTCTAATTGTAAAATGTTCCATATATTTAAAAACTCATTTTGTGTCTCTCTTTCATAACTTAAAACAAATTAGAATAATATATAGGCATCATAAGGCTATTGGGAAGCGTCATTTAACACGTCTAAATCACTCAGGAGAGTTCTTGCTTGCATTGTTTCATAAACATTAGCATTCCAATTATTTCTGCTGATGGACTCTGCATTCCCTGTATTTACTTTTAACAGGCCACCCTATGGGATCTACTGTCCTTAGTGTCTGGGTCAATGGTTTTGGCAACAATCCCCTGGTATTAACAGGAGGCAGAGAAAGATTTCAGAAATGAAAAAGTAAAAGCAACAGGTCTAAAGTTAGTGTCAGTGAGGCAGATGACAAATTCCAGATTATATGTTCATCTGTTGTGGTTTCATAGCTGATGAGTTCTCCATCCTATCCTTGCCCAACAATGGAGGGCAGGAACAGGCTTTGGTCTTGGGGTGTTTTTTGGAATATTAATATCTGAAAAAGTGTTAGCATTCCTCTTCCTTTTTATTCTCTGAAAATCAGAGTGAAAATCCAAATGTGTAATGAGGTCATGTTGTAAAACTAAAAACCCATATGAGATGAATAAACATAGCACTTTCTCACAAAAGTGCCATCACATGACACAACCTATAATCATATTTTCTGTTTAGAATTCTTTCTTGTAAATGCAGAGTATTTTTAGATTTTTTTGGAAGTGGGATCTCACAGAAGTGAGAATGAAAGACAACTTTAGTTTGCAGAATTTAAAATTAATGTAGGTATGAAAGATAAGCCCTGTACAACTTACACTCAATCTGTTTTTCTTTTTTACCCTCTTTCCATTCATAGTGATCTGATAATTTCTACATTCTCAGATAAAATATATTATTTATGATTTAGAGAATATGAAGTTATATTTCATTTGATAAGCAGTGAGACTGTATCTGGCAAATATTATGATTGAGTTATCTGGTCTTTGCTTGAATGGTGACAAAAAATATCCAAGATCTGTTTCCACTTAAATAGATTTAGTAAGCTTGAAAATTCTTAAAAACAAATTGTAGTATAAATTAGCAAGTGTTGTAAAGCTTTTCTAACTCCTTAAAGATCAAGTTAATTAAAAATTAAGCAAGAGCTAATGTGCATCTTTTTGGCTGAATTCACCATAAAATGGGTGATATAACTTGGGTGTGTTTTGATTGCTCTTTAAATGGTCACTACCATTTAATCTCAAGGGGTAGACATTGTGTACTACAATGGCTCTCTTGACAGGAATAGAAATAAAGTTCATGTTCAAGCAAACAAAACCCCACCACACCCTATGTAAACAACAAATGACAGCTGGTGCTTTTTTCCTGGTTAAATATGTAAGTGAATTTCTAATGATCCTTAGGAAATCTTGAGGTGACTTAATGAAGACTGAACAGGAACTGGAAATCCAAATGTTTGCATTTGTCAAATTGTATATTACCAAAGACAACTGAAGTAGCAAAAGATTGGAAGCTTTCAATGAGATCTCAGAAGTCTGATTGACACATATTGCTTTCAAAACACCCCTGGACAATTTTGCTAAGTGCTGACATTTTAAATCACTCAGGGGCATAGGTATGAGACTACAATACCAGGGAGAGCAGAAACAATAGCATCAATAGAAATATGCTAGTGACTGACTAGAGAATCACGGAGTTCCTCTATTGCCAAAAAGGACTTTTTGATAGAAATCTGAGAGCACAGAATGGGTAACTGAGGCTTTAGGCAAAACGACTAGTCCATGTCTATTCATTGTATCCATCCCAAGTACATAGACTAAGGCAATTGATCTCTTGCCTTGGTCACTGTATTTTAACCTTCCAATTTGTCTCTTTCCATTGTAACCCTGTAATTCTCTAGGGTCACAGAAGCCAAATTAGCTTTATGGAACATAAATCAAGTCATGTCACCTTTTTGCTTAACAACCTTCATTGCCTCCTATTGCAATAAAGTCTAATTTCTCTCAGGGGTGGAGAAGCTTTCAGTACCTGGTCCCTACACATCCTATTGACCTCACCATCCACCATTGTCATTATCACACCTTGTTTCCATCTCTCAAGGTCTTCTTTCTCTTCCTCAAATAACAAATGACTCATATACCAGATCACTGGCCATTTCCTCTCTTATGATCTCCTTGGAGGCTGCTCCTTGGCATTCAGTTTCTTCTTAGATGCTATCTCCTTTGAGGGGTCTGTGTTTAAAGTAACCACCTAGCCAGAGTTCATTCAAACATCCCTGGTTTAACTTTTCAAAGTTTTGATTCCAAAAGGATGTTGACATGTTGACTTATTTTCTTGCTTATTTATTAATTATTCATTCCCAGCAGGATGTACCCTCATAAAGTTAAGGTATTTGCTCATGTTATCTCTGGAACTCACTGGACAGGTCCTGGCCACAGTTGTGTTAAAAGATGTCTGGTGTTGCATCAACATACCTTGGAGGAAGGAATATAATTTTAAACTTTTGTATTTCACTGAGTGCTGGGATTAAAGGTGTGACCACCACTGTTGTCTTCTATGGCTAACTAGTGGCTTAGTGTGTGTGTGTGTGTGTGTGTGTGTGTGTGTGTGTGTGTGTGTCTAATTGCCTGTATGTGCTGTACTCTCAGAAGCCAGAAGAGGGCATAAGACACTTCAAAGGTGCCAGGGGGTCCATTTTTTTTTTTTTTTTTTTTTTTTTTTTTATACTATTAACACATTTTTCTTCAATTTTCTTGAAAATATATGTGAAACTTTATTTATCATGTCTTGTTGTAAAGTGGAATGGGGGAGAAGGCAAAGGAATCAGATACATTTCAAACCCTTCTGTATGTCACATTGTGTTAACTGTCATTTTACTACTTCATTCTTCATGTTGAATGCATTTGTAACATTCTGCATCTCTCTGAGCTAAAGTATCTGTAGCCAGGTATAGCACTATACTGTTGTGTAGTTTGTGTACTGGGTAAAAACTACTAGTCAATGGGATGAGTGGGGACTAGAATCAACTCCCACTGTTACATTGATCTGGGCTGACAAAGAGATGGCATCATCCTAGTTTATAAAAACGCACCCTGGAGTCAGTAGTTAACCCTGCCATAGCACATTATTTTTCAAAATACCCTATGTAAGGGGAGAGTGTAGCTGAATGACATATGGAATAACCTGTTTATATTTTTGGATACCATCCCATCATCTTTCATTTGGTTAATTTTCCTTGGAGTGTGTGTATGCCTGATAGTTTTACTTGCGTGGGCCCAGGAGCTACCTTTAGGAACTGAGGCACTTTGTAGGCAAGAAGGAGGGCGGGTCTCACCTATGACATGTGGTTTTGTTGTGGTTGTTGTTGCTGCTGCTGTTGCTGCTGCTGAATGAGCAATTGCTGCTGCTGCCGACGTCGAGCTGTCCGCAGCTTTTCAAAGCGAGCCTCCATCTCCTCCAGGACTTTTGGGGTGTATCTGACCACCAGCTTCACACTGTCCTTGGCAGCCTTGAGAAGTTCCACAGCTTTCTCATGATGCTCCCCTTCCACACTCTAAAAAGACAAGATGAGAACTTGTTTGTTTGCTCCCCTCCCCGGGGACTAGTTTGAAATAACCATCCTAGTAAAAATCCAGACTTTGAGGCAGGCATAGCTCTTCTCTGTAAATCCCCGTACTCAGAAGGCTGCCATAGGAGGGTTGCTGAGAGTTCAAAGTGAGTCTGGGATGCATTGTAAGCTTCAAGCCAGCCTGGTTGACAATGTGAAAACCCTGTTTCAAAAATCAAAGCCATGGGGCTGATGTATCTCAGTTGGTAGGGTTCTTGCCTAGCCTGCATGATGCCCTGGGGTCTATCAGTATTTCCTACAAACATAGTTGGTGGGACATGAAATCCCAAAGCAGGAACAACAGATACTCACTCAAGTCATCCTTGAGTGTATAGTGAGTTCAAGATCAACCTAGGGTACAGGAGATTGTATCTCAAACAAAACAAACAAAATAACAATAATAAAGAAAATCAAAACACTCTTCTATAACAAAATCCTATAAACCCTATGACAAAACACAGAAATCTGCTAGTTCCAGAAAACATGGCAAATAAAACACTTGAACTCAATGTCTATGTTAAAACTGAGCTACAAGTTGGTTAGACTGTATTAAGATACAGGGTGAATTAGAGAGTTTGGGTCGGCAGGGGTGGGGGGTGTGGGGGGAGGGCTAAAGATAGGAAAGACCTAATTATAAGTCAAATAAATATTGAAATGAAATTTATAAATTTCACCTGAAAGGATAAATGAATGAGTCAAAATAATTTTTTTGAAAAAAAAAGTTAAAAATTGGGATAAAGGGAAGCTTTCTCTACCAGATTAATAATCCCCCATTAAACATCTACAGTGATTGAAGTAATAGAATTTAGAAACAAGGAAAAGATTATTAGATAATGATGCTAATAATAAATGATAAAAGCTAATTGATATTCCATTCTCATATTCTAAATTTATTGTCTTCATTCAAACACTTAATGCTTTGAATTGTGAAGGCTTAATCTAGCCTTGAGGGATCTTTATCATCTTGCAATAAATGCACATCAGGAAGGAGGGGAATCTCAAAATCAGGTGCTCAAAGTTTCAGTTTCTGTTATTTTAAATGCTGCACAAGGAAAGTAATAAAGCAGGAGAATGTTGGCACTGTATCAATAAATTTATCAAGTTTTTCACTGGGGCCTCTCTTACGAGTCCATAAGCAGATTAAGCCAGTTATACACGTGCTTAAATAATAAAATACAAATGTAGCATAAACCCATGGGAAGGGAAGTGATCCATCTCCCTCTTAATCAAAGAAGTATAGACCAACATCACATTTTATTTTCAAATGAAAAATGGTAATTTTACATATGGCATACAGACAAGGGTGTGGGGAAAGGGACACTTTAATGGACTGTAGCACAATTTTTCTGGATGGTGCTCTTGTTACTAACTGAAAGAAATATAATGAGTACTTTTACTAAGCATACCATTAGAAATGGACCTCCAAGTATGACATCACAGAATAAAACACAAAGAAATTGATTAGAGTTTGAGATTTTGAGATGGCATGGAGTCTTTTGAACATTACAGCATGGACAGTGATTGGGAAAATTATGATTATTTCAAGTGAACCAAGAGCTGCTGAATACAGCCCTGAAAAGATTCTCTAGGCTGAGAAAAGAGATGTAAAAGAGAAGAAATTTGCAGTTAGATATTATGGGACCTCATAAAGGATACTGCCTGCTATCCTTCTTAGCTGGCACTGAAGGGATAGATACATAGATAAATGATAGATAAATGCCAGATAGATAGATAGATAGATAGATAGATAGATAGATAGATAGATAGATAGACCGAGACAGACAGACAGACAGACGGCCCTCACTTTACAAAATTTAAGTGCAATGGCTTTTTGTCTAGTTATTTGGATTAAGAACACAGGGGAAATTGACAGAAGATATAGATAGAGCCTGGGTTCAAGATTATCAGAACATTTAAGAGTGGTGAAGACAAGGCCACCCTTGGCAGGTTGAGGTTTTATTTCACATCACAAGCATAGTAAGAATTTCAGAGGCATCTCTATGAGCTACAAAAAAGGAAACTATTAGATCTACAATTATAAGTTCAAATTAATAATTACTAATATACAGATATTTTAGAGGGTGTGTTTAAATCAATCCCTTGCCTTCAGTAGGTACGTGTGGGCTGAGGGGGAAAAAGTTTGAATTTAGCAATTAGGTTAGTTGTTACTGCTGACTGTGAGAACACAGCTTGTTGTTTGTTTGAGTACCAAGCAGATAGTATGGGGTTCACTACCATATGGCCTCAGTGAGCTGAAAAGACAATTTATGGAAGTATGTCCCTAAGTATGGATTAAATAGAAAGAGATGTGTTACACAGCCTTTGGGTACAGAGAATTTTTATCTAAAGCCCAGAAAAATAAACATGTTCATTGATCAATTCATTCTTTTAGTTATTCACTCAATCACTGATAGTCACAAATCAGAATTTCATTAAACATTAATCTTAATGGTTATAGTACACAAAATTTTCAAGTAAATAAAAGACAAAAGAAAACATTAACAACAGAAACCTCCTTTTAGTTTGCCTGTAATTACTTTGTAATTTGTCCCAAGACGATTTATTACTCTGTGGACTGTCGATTTCAAATGAAAGCTTGATTTACTTATCCAAACCTCTCTTTAGTTTTTCCACATTAAAACTTACATGGGCTTTTGTTATTGTTTGGTTTTACAGAGGTCTTCTGTAGCACAGGCTGGCCTAGAATGCCTTATGCAGTAGTGGATGACTGTCAACTTTGGTCCTCATGTCTCTACTTCCAAGTGGCAGGATCAAAGGTGTGTGTCACAATACCAGATTTTCCTGTTTACTAATGGTGGTTCACCCACTTCTGAGGCCAGCTGGTCAACCTCCAGAAGTTGCTTTGCATTTTGTGCTATTGGATTCCATTTAGTGTGATGGAAGATTCTGGGCCAGACATGGAGAAGCTTGTTTATCGGCATTTAAGCATTATGCTCATTCAGAATGTCACCAGAGGGCCCAGGCACTAATGCAGGAGCCACCAGACTCTCATGACAGAGGAGATGACAGAGAAAAGCTGAATTCCATGCCCATACCCAGACTCTGGGATTCATTGTTACCTTCTCGAACTCCTGGTTTTGCCATCTCTCAGGAGGAGTTCACAAAGAGCAACTCCCATGCTCTTCAAACCTATAAACCTGGCCTAGATTGTGAGAGCGATTCTCTCTCAGATGCTTGCCAGCATCAACAGTCCTTTCCTTTGTCTTCCACTCCAGATCACAAAATCATTCACTAGTGAGCCGAGGCCTGTACTCCCTTCATTTCTACTACATGAAAAATACATACTTGACCACAAGTTATACAATTAAGTCATATAATGGAAACAAAGGCAGATTGCAGAGGTGAAGTTGTAGTTCATTTCAAATGCTCTGATGTTGTTTTCACCGAATGTCTTCATTTTTTTTTTTTTTTTTTTTTTTTTTTTTTTTTTTTTTTTTGCAGGGTTACTCAGAACACCACACTTTTTTTCCCTGTGTTTGTTTCATGCTTTGGCAGACATGCTTGTCTTGACTTACCATGTATGTAAACCTCTAGAACACTCTTAGTTCCTTGGTAAACTCAATTGGAACTGATAGCTGACAACACTCCTCTTTCTTTCTTTTCCTTTTTAGAGTTAGAACAAACGAACAGATCACCATTCTATAGGAGTCTAGTTTTGTGACACTTGCCTGGTTAAGGAATGTCCATTAGTGTGCCCTCAAGACAAGGTATGTCTTTAGCTTGGCATCTTTCCTGTTTGGGACTTTATTATTTACTCTTGCTGACAGTATCTCATATCTTGTTAACTATTTAAAATATGTTTTAAGCTGGGATACATTATAAAGTTTATTTTTCTTTAAAACAAAACTATCTATATAAAGTTCTTCTAATTTAGTGATTTTTCTTTATAACAAGTTACCTGAAATTTGACTAACACTGTAGACTTTTGACAAGAGCTTTCTGCACAGTCAGGGACTGTGGTTCCCGTGTGCATCAAGGAGAGCTAGAATGGCTTCCAGTGTTGAACTACTTCTTCCTTTTAAAAACCAGAATTCTACACTTTTTTTATCCCTTGTTTTAAGGGTTTTAGTATATCTGTTGCAATATGAAACAGTTCTTAGAAAAAATAGTTCAACATAAGTCTTTGTAATAGAAGAGTAGGAAGAGGTTTTATAAATGTGAATAATGATGAAGAAGGCAGGTGAGTACATTAGGCTCTTGGGGAAAATTTGAGAAGAGTATAGTCCTAAAACAGAAAAACACTAAAAAGCAACTTTATGTACTATAGTTATGTCTTAAGGACTGTGAACCTTCATGGAAGTGAATAAGAGTGCTGGGAAGAGTGGACACCCCAGTCCTGAAAACATTAACATTTGTCTGACTTCAAATAAAAATCTATATGTAAAAGTTCAAACAATTTTATAACTACTTTTGAAGTTCATAAGGAGAGGGCAATAAAATACTTAATATGTAAACCCCAAAGTTCTGGGTTTCCTGTAAGGTAAATATATAAAAGGAATGTTTCCATTCAGGAACCTGGAAAAGAAATGGACTCAACAAATAACCCACTATGCATTTGTTTTGTTAGCAATCATGGGCAGGAGAAAGTGCTAGGACACTTTAAAGTCTGTTGATGTATTGGAAACTCAGCAAAGCTGTGGCTGCAAAATGACCCAACCTTTAAGCTTGTGTGCATTCTGACCTTTTAATGCATTAGCTATTACACACAGATATCAAAATATGATGTCTAGTATGGTCTATTTCTTAAGTGATTGAGGATCCTCCTAAAAAGAATTTGGGTTGTGCTACCTACATGAACTTGCTCACTGTATGTGTCTCCCTTTGTGACACAGTTACATTTTGACCTTTTCTGGACAGCAGAGAGAGGAGACCCATGCTCTGGGAAAGAATACTAGACATTATATGTATGCACTATCAACTGTGAA